GTTACATTTAGAAACCAATGGTTAGCTACCTAGCTTGTTACATTTAGAAAACAATGGTAGCTACCTAGCTTGTTACATTTAGAAACCAATGGTTAGCTACCTAGCTTGTTACATTTAGAAACCAATGGTTAGCTACCTAGCTTGTTGCATTTAGAAAACAATGGTAGCTACCTAGCTTGTTACATTTAGAAACCAATGGTTAGCTACCTAGCTTGTTACATTTAGAAAACAATGGTAGCTACCTAGCTTGTTACATTTAGAAACCAATGGTTAGCTACCTAGCTTGTTACATTTAGAAAACAATGGTAGCTACCTAGCTTGTTACATTTAGAAAACAATGGTAGCTACCTAGCGTGTTACATTTAGAAACCAATGGTTAGCTACCTAGCTTGTTACATTTAGAAAACAATGGTAGCTACCTAGCTTGTTACATTTAGAAACCAATGGTTAGCTACCTAGCTTGTTACATTTAGAAACCAATGGTTAGCTACCTAGCTTGTTACATTTAGAAACCAATGGTTAGCTACCTAGCTTGTTACATTTAGAAAACAATGGTAGCTACCTAGCTTGTTACATTTAGAAACCAATGGTTAGCTACCTAGCTTGTTACATTTAGAAACCAATGGTTAGCTACCTAGCTTGTTACATTTAGAAAACAATGGTAGCTACTTAGCTTGTTACATTTAGAAAACAATGGTTAGCTACCTAGCGTGTTACATTTAGAAACCAATGATTAGCTACCTAGCGTGTTACATTTAGAAAACAATGGTTAGCTACCTAGCTTGTTGCATTTAGAAAACAATGGTAGCTACCTAGCGTGTTACATTTAGAAACCAATGGTTAGCTACCTAGCGTGTTACATTTAGAAACCAATGGTTAGCTACCTAGCTTGTTACATTTAGAAAACAATGGTAGCTACCTAGCTTGTTACATTTAGAAAACAATGGTTAGCTACCTAGCTTGTTGCATTTAGAAAACAATGGTTAGCTACCTAGCTTGTTACATTTAGAAACCAATGGTTAGCTACCTAGCTTGTTGCATTTAGAAAACAATGGTTAGCTACTTAGCTTGTTACATTTAGAAAACAATGGTTAGCTACTTAGCTTGTTACATTTAGAAAACAATGGTTAGCTACTTAGCTTGTTACATTTAGAAAACAATGGTTAGCTACCTAGCTTGTTACATTTAGAAAACAATGGTTAGCTACTTAGCTTGTTACATTTAGAAAACAATGGTTAGCTACTTAGCTTGTTACATTTAGAAAACAATGGTTAGCTACTTAGCTTGTTACATTTAGAAAACAATGGTTAGCTACCTAGCTTGTTACATTTAGAAACCAATGGTAGCTACTTAGCTTGTTACATTTAGAAAACAATGGTTAGCTACCTAGCTTGTTACATTTAGAAAACAATGGTTAGCTACCTAGCTTGTTACATTTAGAAAACAATGGTAGCTACCTAGCTTGTTACATTTAGAAAACAATGGTAGCTACCTAGCGTGTTACATTTAGAAACCAATGGTTAGCTACCTAGCGTGTTTCATTTAGAAACCAATGGTTAGCTACCTAGCTTGTTACATTTAGAAAACAATGGTAGCTACCTAGCTTGTTACATTTAGAAACCAATGGTTAGCTACCTAGCTTGTTACATTTAGAAAACAATGGTAGCTACCTAGCTTGTTACATTTAGAAAACAATGGTTAGCTACCTAGCTTGTTGCATTTAGAAAACAATGGTTAGCTACTTAGCTTGTTACATTTAGAAAACAATGGTTAGCTACTTAGCTTGTTACATTTAGAAAACAATGGTTAGCTACTTAGCTTGTTACATTTAGAAAACAATGGTTAGCTACCTAGCTTGTTACATTTAGAAAACAATGGTTAGCTACTTAGCTTGTTACATTTAGAAAACAATGGTTAGCTACTTAGCTTGTTACATTTAGAAAACAATGGTTTGCTACTTAGCTTGTTACATTTAGAAAACAATGGTAGCTACCTAGCTTGTTACATTTAGAAAACAATGGTTAGCTACTTAGCTTGTTACATTTAGAAAACAATGGTTAGCTACTTAGCTTGTACATTTAGAAACCAATGGTAGCTACTTAGCTTGTTACATTTAGAAAACAATGGTTAGCTACCTAGCTTGTTGCATTTAGAAACCAATGGTTAGCTACCTAGCTTGTTGCATTTAGAAAACAATGGTTAGCTACCTAGCTTGTTGCATTTAGAAACCAATGGTTAGCTACCTAGCTTGTTGCATTTAGAAACCAATGGTAGCTACCTAGCTTGTTACATTTAGAAACCAATGGTAGCTACTTAGCTTGTTACATTTAGAAAACAATGGTAGCTAATTAGCTTGTTACATTTAGAAAACAATGGTAGCTACCTAGTTTGTTACATTTAGAAAACAATGGTAGCTACCTAGCTTGTTACATTTAGAAAACAATGGTAGCTACTTAGCTTGTTACATTTAGAAACCAATGGTAGCTACCTAGCTTGTTGCATTTAGAAACCAATGGTTAGCTACCTAGTTTGTTGCATTTAGAAAACAATGGTAGCTACCTAGCTTGTTGCATTTAGAAACCAATGGTAGCTACCTAGCTTGTTACATTTAGAAACCAATGGTAGCTACCTAGCTTGTTGCATTTAGAAACCAATGGTAGCTACCTAGCTTGTTGCATTTAGAAACCAATGGTTAGCTACCTAGCTTGTTGCATTTAGAAAACAATGGTTAGCTACCTAGCTTGTTGCATTTAGAAACCAATGGTTAGCTACCTAGCTTGTTGCATTTAGAAA